AAGGAAGACTGAAGAATTTGAATTATGGTGTTGGCAAAGAATATTGAATATACCATGGACTGCCAAAGAACAAATGACCATGTCTTAGGAGTACAGCCAGAATGCTCCTTAGAAGCAAGGATGATGAGACTACATCTCACATACTTTGGACATGTTTTCAGGAGGAATCAGTCCCTGGAGAAGGACATCATGCTTGGTAAAGTAGGTCAGCAAAAAAAAGGAAGACGTTCAGGAGAAGGATTGACACAGTGACTGCAACAATGGGCTCAAGCATAATGATTGTGAGGATGGCTCAGGACCAGGCAGTGTTTTGTTATGTTGTACACAGGGCCAACTCGAAGGCACCTAACAACAACAACAAAAACAACTCTACCTATTTTTGTTTTAAATTATGACCTCAGATATTAGATCTTCCCCTATACATTTTCATATTTGCCTTCAAATTCATACTTTCCCTTGCCTTAATTATTTCTTACTTCTTCCCAATCACATAATTAATATTTGTATTTTATTCATGCTTAATTTATGAAACCTGGTCATTTAGGTTTTAGCAAGGAGCCCCGGTGTCACAGTGGTTAAATGCTCGTCTGCTAACCAAAAGGTTGGCAGTTCAAACCCACCAGCCACTTCTCGGGAGAAAAGACCTAGAGATCTGCTTCTGTGAGAATTACAGCCTAGGAACCCTATGGGGCCATTCTACTCTGTCCAATGAGTCAGAAACTCAAGGGTACACAACAGCTGGTTTTAGCAGTGTCCTGAAATTTTGAAAGCAGTGAGGGAATGATGCAATGAAAGGAAAATCTAATAGGTTCGTATTAGCATGTCACTGTCACCTAGATTTTATGTTGCTTTATCCAATGCCTAATTACATTATTATTTAATAGACTTAGTACTGCAGAGGGAATAAAAATACCACGTTTGAGGCTAAAGCATATTCTGTTTATAGATGCTTTACTTAGTAACTCCCAACTAGCTAATTCTCCTAATGCATTGCATTTTTTGTATGTGAGAGAAGTTGGTAACTGCTATAATAATGTCCTTTATCTCAAGGCTTTTTTTTTTTTACCCCTGGAGTCTTCATACTGGGGATGAAGCTTGTCATTGTATAATGCAGTGCTTTTACATTTAAGAATGCTCAGTAAATATTGCTGTGTATTAGGCTCAATTTGAACTAGGAAAACAATGAAACAACCATTTGGAGCAAATCATTGTGCATCGTCAACACATAAATAAGGAAATGTTAGTCAGTCATTTATTTGACAATTCCAACAAAATATTAAAATATTTATATAAATGTAAGAATACGCTAATTTAGGAAATTACTTGCGTATCCTCTATGTGATTGTTAGCTTTCAAGACAGACAAATCAAGTAGATCATACCTAATCATACCAGAGTAGTCATTATTGGAAACCATGGTGGTGTAGTGGTTAAGAACTACGACTGCTAACCAAAAGGTCGGTAGTTCGAATCCACCAGGCACTCCTTGGAAACTGTATGGGGCAGTTCTACTCTGTTCTGTAGGGTCGCATTATTTTTGTTCATTTAAGCTGGAGTGGATTTCTGATGTTTTCATATGACCACTATATCCCTCCTAATGTTATTGCTCATGCGTTCTAAAAGACACAATTCAATATTTGTACTTTTGATTGCTTGATTACTGAATTATATTCTCCATGTGTTAACTTGTTCAGAATATTTTTTTTTACATTTTTAAAAGGACCTTAGCTGGTGACTATTATAGTTGATCTTGGAGTCCCTGGGTGGTGCAAATTTTTGGTGTGCTCGACTGCTAATCAAAAGATTGACAGTTCAGAGGTGCCTTGGAAGAAAGGCCTGACAATCTACTTCCGAAAAATCAGCCATTGAAAACACTATGGAGCGCAGTTCTACTCTGACACACATGGAATTGCCATGAGTAAGGATTATCTCAGCAGTAACTGGTTATAGTTGATCTTGGTTTTTTAAAGTTGTAACAAAACAGTTGATGCTGTACTACCACTGCTAAGACTGAATGTTTTGGCTTTTTCAAGACTCATAAGCTCAATATATTTCTGGAATCAAATAAAAGCCTCTAGCGTTGGCAAGGGCTACCAGTAAATACATTCCTAATTACTCGTTTTTGGCAGTGGTATCTCTGAAATACAACAGGAATAACCATTTGGAAGCTGTCATGAATTGGCAGGTCATCAAGCAAAAATCATTCTCATTAATTTTAGTTTTGTCAAGTTTTATCTCCTCCCAAGAGTTGGAGGTCTCAAAGCAGGTAATTGAGCTAGTATGGCAAAAAGGTTACTCTTTCTCGTTGCCCCATATGCATGATCAATAATTAACTCCCAGAGACTTCACAGTCATTGTGAGAAAAGTTGCAGGATTTCAAAATATAATATGAAATGAAAATAAAATGAATATTTTAAGTACCTACTCATATGATAGATACTGTGCAAACCTTAGTAAAATGACTCAACAACCATCATACCGGTAGTCTTCTGTTGAGGCCACATTATTTGCTTCCCAGAGCTAAATTGTTTAGCAAAATACATATGAAAGCTACCTATAGGAATTCATCCTATTTAGAAAAGGCAGAAGCTAAGTAGTCTTTTCATTTCTCTTAAAAGTTTAAATATTTTATATGTGTGTGTGTGTGTGTGTGTGTGTGTGCAGGGCTTATGTGCCTCAAGAAACCTTACTAGATGCCATGACACCAGCATTTTCTCTAATTTTTTATAAAGTTTACACTTTGAAAAGTTTATATGCCTCCTTCCATTATACCAAAAAGAAATTAATTGGGACAGGGTTTTTAAACAGTGCTTTTCAATCTGATAAACCTGAAGACATTTTCATTGAGTGGCCCTAGAACCTCTTCTGGAGTAGGATTTGGTTGTGAATAATCAGGAATGGGGGAAAGGAAATGAGTGGAGTAAAAGAGAGGTATTTGTATTTTACAAGTAGATGTTTGATTGCCCTCTACAATTTCCCAGATGTGTAGGTATCTACCTAACCCTAAACACTTAAACTGAAAGACCATGCACTAATTATCTTCTGGCCACAGCGCTCCCACTTTATGTCTAGAGGAGATAATTGTTGGAGCTGTTGACTTTAATAAAAGTTTGACTTTTTCTAAGATAAGAGGAGAGACAAATTTCTGGAAGTCTGATTGCAAGGTTTTGTGTGATCTCAGTGAGTTGTGCTCTACAGAAACTAGATCATCGTATATATAATATAACCGGTATGACCTAAGCTTGCCATATTAAAACTAGAAAAAAATTGTGTCTAACATTTATGGAGCACTTACAACATGAAAGCGATTGTTCTAAAAAATTTTCTTGCGTTATCTCATTTTAATCCTCAGAACAACTCTGTGATATAGGTAGTATTTTTCCTATTTTATAAATGAGGAAACTGAGGCACAGATGTGCTAAAGCACAAAGGAGCCCAAAATCACACAGATACCAAGTAGCAAACAGGGATTTGAACCCAAACTGTTCTAGAGCATGTATTATTAACCAATATAACATGCTGCTTCCCAAGATTGAGTATTATATTTTTTAAATAATTTATAGCTTCCCAAACAATTCCTGATAGATGTACTATTATTCATGAAATGCATTCCTGTCATTACAAGCATTCCAAGAGATAAAATGATGATAACATTTTTTTTTCCATTTACATTTACCCAAACAGAGGCAAGCGCAGTGGTATAAGGCTTAAATCTGTTTTTATAGGGTATTTTAAAATATATCTCATCAACAGTCTTGTCTTACTATAAAATATACCATGCTTATGTTTTTCTGATTTTTAATTATTAAAGTTCTGTCAAAGTCTCCATGTAAGGTCTTCTTCAGGGTCCTTGCTGAATTTGCTGATGAATTATTATAAGCTGCTGTTTGCAATATAAGTGCTAATTATTAACCTTCTGTATATATATCATATATTTAATAAATAGCAATACTAATTTTAAAAAAAAAAATTTATTGTACTTTAGATGAAGGTTTACAGAACAAATAGTTTCTCATTAAACAGTTAGTACACATATTGTTTTATGACAATGGTTAACAATCCCACAACATGTCAACACTGTCCCTTCTCAACCTTGGGTTCCCTATTACCAGCTTTCCTGTCCCCTCCTGCCTTCTAGTCCTTGTCCCTAGACTTGTTACTCATTAGCCTTGTTTTGTTTTATGGGGCTGTCTAATCTTTGACTGAATGGTGAACCTCGGGAGTGACTTCATTACTGAGCTAAAAGGTTGTCCAGGTACTCTCAGGGTTTCTTCAGTCTCTGTCAGGCCAGTAAGTCTGTTCTTCTTCTGTGAGTTAGAATTTTGTTCTACATCCTTCTCCAGCTCTGTCCAGAACCCTCTGTTGTGATCCCGGTCAGAGCAGTCAGTGGTGGTAGATGGACACCATCTAGTTGTACTGGACTCAGTCTGGTGGAGGCTGTGGTAGTTGTGGTCCATTAGTCCTTTGGACTAATCTTTCCCTTGGCAATACTAATTTTTTTTTTAAAAATTAAGGCTATTTTTTACTTTTATTTAAAAAATTTATTCTAAACATTTAAAGCAATTGAGTTGTCATCCTGTAGGCTATGAAAAGTTTTTAATTGCTATCCATTCCTGATAGACTCACTTAAGCTTTCGTTTGGGAGAAATGGTGTCCTCTTACCTTCTTGATTTCATGTGTCAAAAATCTTTAAAAATATATGAATCTGTCAAGGAGGTGTCTTAACTAAACTCTTGGTAACCATGAGTTGCAGCCCTGCTAGCTAAGTGAGATATCTGAGACCCTAATCAACATTTTCAACTTTATTGATTAAAAAAAACTTCTGGATACAAGGGCACATGACTTTCAGTTTTTTAAAATCAGTCTCTTCGCAGGGTGAGACTTTATTTTAAATTTACATCAGATGAAAAGTAATAATTCTACATGTTATTACCACTCTGTTGTTTTATAGGTGGGGAAGTGTTGAAATTTCTTTTTTTTTTTTCTATTTTATTCTTACAGATGTTCGAAGAAGAACAATTTATGAATACCATCGAGTAGAGCTACAAATGTCAAAAATTACCAACATTTCAGCTGTGGAAATGACTCCATTACCTAGTAAGTTAATATGTGAACATAGCTAAGTAGAAAAAATAATTTGCAAGCTTGATTATCTGATCTGTTTATCAATAATTATAACATTGTGTTTGATAGGGATGGGTATTTTGACCCTGAGTGTATATGGGGGTGGGTGGGTGATTTTTATTTGGGTTGAGCGATTACTTTTTTGCCTCGTGCCATCAGATTAGTCTTGATGAATCTTATGTTCCCTCCTGTTTCCTAGCATGTCTCCAGTTTAATGAGTGTGGCTCCTGTGTGTCCTCTCAGATTGGCTTCAACTGCAGTTGGTGTAGTAAACTTCAAAGGTAAAAAATACCTTTAATTTTAAAAAAAAAATTTAATGATTAAAAAAAGGTTTGTTGGTTCTACCCTGCCATTGAATTTTAGATGTATATCAGGTATATAGATTGTGTGTGCATTACTATATAGATGTGCGTAAACAACAACAAAAAAAAAATATGACCAAAATGCAAAAAAAAAAAAAAAAAAGCTTAAAAGTAGGAATTTTAATATTTCCCTTTGCCTGATTTCTCAAAATTACCAAGAGCCTCCATAGTCAATAAGATCATTATCTGGCATACTTTATAATCACTATGGGGCTTAATGTATATGATAACTGCAACTGATGAACCTATAAAAAATCATGCTTTGGTCCTAAGTCTATAGAAAACATGGTATGTCTTCACTAGAGCAAGCAAGGCTTGTGTATAATCATACACATATTCTTAGTAGATTACTGTAAAATATCTAAAAGATCAATACCTAAAATTAGAAATATAATCTGAGGCTGAGAAATAAAGTGACACTAAGTGGGCTTTACATAAATAGAACAGGTGGTTTTGGCCCCCAGTTAGAGCTGACTGACTTTGGCCCTTAAGCTGCATAACTTGCTGATGTCAAAGAAGTTTACTGATTTTCGTGAACAGCAAAGATTTTTGCATCCCTAAACTTTTTCAGAGACTGAATGATCATTTGTTGGAGATAGTGGGTGAAGATAATTTTAAACATATTCCATTTGTTTAACCATGTTGCTCATCTATTATGTCCCGGGCATTGGGCACACAGCAGTGAATAATGTAGATATGGTCCCTGCCCCCAGGAAGCTTTAGTCGTTTGGGTTTAAGTCCCCTTCTCATCTTTAGATCTATGAAAAATATGCTTCTTCTCCCAGTTGGAGAACTGAATTTATGCTATTAGTCAATTATTGTTGCATCTGAGCTTTCTGTTGTATAAACAGTCTGTCTTATCATCTTCTTGCTGCAGCATCTGCTGTGATGATAAAGGCATGTTCGCAAGTAGTTTAAACGTTATTGAAACATAAAGAGTAGAGTTCCAATTGGTATGCCTTGATAACAAGCTTTAGGAAACATTCTTAATCAGCTAACTTTGGGGTAAGTTCTGAGTTATTGAGAATAGAGCAATATTACTTGTAATAACCTCTTGTTCCCTTTTCAGTTTGATATGTTGTTTCAATAATTTCCTTTGTGAAATGAATTTTAAATCATCAAAAAACGAACAGGCTGTTATCATTTTTAAAAGTAGATTTTAACTTAGCTGCAGATCCAGAGTGAAGGAACTGCTATAAAATCAAGGATTTGTGGTTATTTACATTCATATTTTGCTGAGATTTCATAAAGATTACATGCATATCAATGTTTATTTGCAATCTGTTTAGATAATAACAAAAGTAAATCTAAACAGATGGCATTTTAATATGTATGTTTATAGGTCTTACTGAGCTCAGACATGAAAAATGCCTTAAAGACTTAATGGAAGGCCCTGGATTGGGCTGTGCACCTGCTTTGAGATCCAGTTCAGTGTTTACCGCCTCTGAGAAGTCTCCCTAAACCACTAGTCTGTGTGAGGTGGCCACCCTTGTGCTTCCACCGCATCCTGGGCAAACCTCCATTATCAGCATTTAGCATTGGGCTTGGAATGCTTATTCGCTTGTCTGTCTACTTTGCAAGGCTCTGGGTTTGTTGAAGGCAAGGACTGTTTCCTATTATCCTTATACCTCCAGACCTAGGAAGGTGCCTGGTATTGCAGAAGAATGGATGAATAAATGAGTCATGATCAGGTTTCAGATGAAGGAATCATGATTATGTTTCTCTGGGAATGAGGGTTTTCCAGGATGTGGGACTTACACTTCTAAAACCAAGAAAGTCCCATGAAAACCCGGACAAGTTGGTCACCCTAGCCAGAGTACTATTAGGTTAATTCATATATGAAATAGTGTTATCATAAATGAAAGTTTTGCAGACAAGTCTAAAATTCTACCTTCCTATAATTACTCCATTTTTGGTTTCACACTTTTGTGGAAAATATGTTTAAAGTCCCAAACAACCAACTTTCGTGATCAAAACATTCACAAGTTGGATCTACAAGTTGTTAACACTTCCATTTTATTGAGAGGTTTCTCTGTCAGACATTGTGCTAAGTACTTTTCATACAGCATATTTAACTCAGAACATTTTTATAGCAGAGGAAACTGAGGCTTGTCAAAGCTAAGTTTCCTGTGCTGATTCTCACATATCTTATGTACTAAGCCTGGAATTGAACCTTAATCTGTGTGACTCCCAGGCCTATGGTCTTGGTGCCTCACCTGTTCTGCTTCACACTTGCCCCGCTACTAGTGCCCTAGGCAAGCTAATCTTCATTGCATTCTGAAAAATAGTAGACTTACTACTGAAAATAAAACTTTTTTATAATTGATGTTGTAAGGAAGTTACCTAGTTTTGAAATCGGCACAAGAAGAATGTAGGGGAAGATCAAGCAAAGCATAAAACTTCTGTATATTATTGAAAGCATAGTGTTTTAATGATTAATGGAGAAAAGAAAGGTGGCAATACATACGAATAAGGAAGGAATTCATCAAAGAACACTATTAAAGTAACTGTGAATTTTCTGCATGTTACTGTATGGGATTTTGTTTCATACTAAACACTGCTTTAAAATGTTGGATTTATTTTTAATTCTTCAACAACCCAGTTATATACATATCAAAACCTGTTTAATTAATTGGTTTAACTATGGCTCATTGAACTTTTGTTCAACTTAATTTCCCCACTGCGTTTTATTAATTTCTTTATAACCTGTAAGCTTCAAAACTTTGCTTTTGCTGTCCAGCAGCATTTCCCAAGACTTTAGAGCTTTTATTAACAAATTCAATAAAACAAGGGAAGTCTTATCCTAAGTGGCTCAAAAATTGCCTCTCAGATTTTTTTCCTCCATTCCTTTTAGTTTCTTCTTTGTGCACATTTATCCCTGCATGATAATCAGTTGATGGTGGTTACTCAACCTGAAGTTGAGCTTGCTCTAAAAAGATAAGATATTTTTAATTGGTTTGTTCATTTCATTTAATTCTCATTTTTCATGGAGTGAAAACTAAGACAGAATGTTTGTAATGGCTTACCCAAGGTTTGAGAGAATTTGAGTTATAGGAAGATATAATGAGATCCGTGATCAAAAGTGCTTTACTTAGAATACTTGGTCCATTTCTTCTAGGTATGAATGCTTTTGTTTCTTCACTGCAATTCAAAATATAAAATATAGTTGAATCAATCACTTTCAACTGTATCTTATATTTTCATTCATTCAACAAAAAGTTTTGAGTTGTCTCTATACTCAAGTTACTGTCATAGATGTGGATTCATTGGTTAGCAAAACAGAAAAAATCACTTGCCTCATAGAGCTTACATTTTTAGTATGGTAACATAGATTTTAAACAAATAGGAAATAGAATAGTAGTGATGAATAATCCTATGTAAAATAAATAAATATATAAACAGGGCAGTGTAAGGGGAAATATAGCAAAATTGGTAAGAATAACAGGAGTTCTCTTATAGTATCACGCTGAAATAGCCTTGCCCTTTTGCATGACTTCATCAGCCATCCTCATCCAAAAGTTTTTTTTTTAATTGATAATGTATTTGACTCTCAAAATAATCATTCATTCATTCACTTAATTTATTGAATAACTTCCATATATCAGGCACTAGTCTAACACAGAGGAAGTTAGAACAATCACCACATATTAATCAACACATTGACTCTCATAGAGCTTAGCTGAGCAAGCTGGAAAATAAACAAAGGAATAATTAAACAAAAAAGTTAGATGATGAGGAGAGGTTTACTGAGTTTAAAAGAGCCAGTAGGAGGCGGGGCCAAGATGGCAGAGTAGTCCGAAGCATCCTGTTGTCCCTCTTACAACAAAGACCCAAAACAACAAGTGAATCGATTGTATATGACTATCAAGGAGCCCTGAACATCAAAGGCAAAGTCGAGGAATTGGACTGAGTGGCAGAGGGAGGGAGAGATGGTTCGGAAGCAGCGAGGAGTTGCCAGACCTAACCCAATGGGAGCCTGAAACTTTCAGGCTGGATCAGCTCCTGTGCACGGTGAAGCTAGCAGTGGAGCTCAGGAGGTGTTTTCCACATCAGAAGAGGCCCAGCAGCAGAGAGTCTACTTGGCCATCCAGAACTAGTGAAAAGCAGCACTAAAGCAGCTAAAGATAAGTACCTGTGTGTGGCCTACTGCGTGGATTAAAAAAAAAAAGAAAGCCCATTTGGGAAAAACCTCTCTCCCATTTACTGCCCCCTTCCCTGCTCTATGCTGGGTCCCGGCCAGCTTCAGCAATTGCTCAGTCCCCTGGGCCAGAAGTAGGACCCTTAATGCGCCCTGAGCCATTCTCCCAGCCTTGGAGAGGAAACAAATTAACAAACAGGGAAAAAATAATCTGCCAGCTCCCCTAAGCCAGGACCTCAGGGTTGGCACAGCTCCTTTGCCTAGGCATAGGCATAAAGGGTCCACTGACTTTGAATGCCTTTCAGCCCTGCATGGACTTGTGTGGGCCCATTTCAACAGCATAAGCCCTCACTACCACAGTACAACAGGTATATACCTGAAGTCTAACTTCAACTGTTTTAGCTGTGAAGTGTCAGATTTGTGACATTTGACACTGTTCTGCCCATTAAGCAGGCTCCTCACCTGTCCACATCAGGGGCTTGAGGACTGGTGGCTCCACCCATGACACCTAGCAACCTGTGACAGGGGTCCAAGGATAAATGGTGCACCCCAGTCCTTACAGCCAACACCATAGGGTGCTAATAGTCCAGCTAGAAAACTCACCTACCTGCTCACTGTAGGGAACAGGGACATGCTTTCCTTTCATACACTCAGAGGCAGCCATCAGCATCCTGAAATGCTCAGAACGTGACCCCCTACTGCAGCCAGATACCTGTGCCTATACCAATCATCCATACCTGTCTAGGACTGTAGGTGAGAGCCTGTACCACACACTTGCTGA